TCTCAGCTAAATTAAGTATTTTGTTATTTTCTTCTTGTTTCTCTCAACATGTACTCCATAAGTACTTGTTGGATGAATGTTTACATGAATAATAGTGTCAAAGATTTCACAAATTCAAAACGTAGAGTTTGCCCTATGTTTGGGCCTTCTGCTTCTATGGAAAAGTTACAGCTGTGCATGTAACTTCAGAATTCCCACCAGAAACTACTTCTGATGGTGTCAAAATGCACACTTCATCCCCAGACCCAAACACTTTGTCAACAGTATGACAATTGATGCTTTTTGATTTGGGCCACCTCAAGTCTCAATTTAGCAAGTAATTGTCACAACTTTATAGGTGTTCGATTCACCCTTCCAGTGTCTGTGCTCTGAGCAGTCTCCTTGCTCTGAGAATGTCTAGTGGCGCCATACGCCAGCAGTCAGCACAGTTGCCCTTTGAGGAACCAATAGCTCAGAATCCAAGGATGATGGGAGTAGAATACATTATCTGGGTCATTTTTCAGCCCTTTACCTGAATAGTCACTGAGTTAATAAGTCCGAGGCCATTTCCGCTCCATTTGCCGCTTCTTGAGCTGTAAACTATCTTTCATTGCTCATTGATTTTCCTGCCCATGTCAACTGCTAACCAGAAGTCACCCACCACATTTAATCACACAGTCCCAGTCCCCACGTAGGAGGTCAGCTGTGAAGGAGAACATAGCCATCTCCAACAGACATCAAGACAACAAGAGTGCCGGGACCAGTAGAGGGATCAGAAGTGGCTCACTCAGAATTATCCAGGGAACCCAGCCATGCTTCTCCTGCCCACTCAGACCACACTGAAGCTTCCAGCCCGTAATGATTCAGGGATTGTCCAAGAGTCTTCACATGAGTTGTCCTATGTCACCACACTCTCTACCGAGATTCCTCACCTCTCCTGAACCCTAATCTCTTGTACACTGATCCGTGGATTCAGAGCTCTGGGTGACAGCCAGCCTTGAGCCCTCTGGACTGGATTTGCATGTGGTTTTGCTCAGGAACTCTGGCAGTTGAATCCTTTGAAAGCCTGTCATTAGATGAGAGTGACCTGTCTGATCCCTTGATCTGGTTCCTGAACATTCTGACAAAATCTTACTTTTCCTTTTGGCAAAGTGAAAATGTTCTGTTGACATTTCCGAATTTTAAATCATGCTTAGAGAAATCCCATTACTCTAGATATAGCTGTATAAACATAGTTTATATGGGCATGGGATTAAGCTAATGCTTTTCTTTGACTTAACCCAATTAGATTAATGAGGAAGTACAAATTAAAAAATAGTGATATTTTTGATTCATAATTTTTCCACATTTAAAAGATAATATAAAATTTTTCTGTGAGGGTATTAATTTTTGAGAAAATGAATGCTGCAGAATAAAATTCACTAATAGTTGTAACAATTTAAAATATTTATGCCATTTCTAATGAGAAAAGAATTTGCCTAATAACTTATATTCAAAGATACTGATTTTTAGTGATTTGGATTTAAAATTACGTGTTTTACGTATCAGATTATTAACTGTACATACTGCAAAGGAGGGGACTGAACTTAGGAGAATCTTTTGCAAAGATAAGAATTATGATTAATCTGTATTTTCAGGAATGTTTCTGCAATAAGCACATTTGTAGACTGCAAAGCCTAGGACCTCTCTGACTCATTTAAATATTTAAATTAGTGTAATATGAATCAGCATAAATATAAAATGTTTAATACTTACTAAAATACAGCATTGTATAAATGTAGATACAATAGGGACTTTGCATTAATCACCTAAGTAACTGCTACCATATACTCCACACAAATCCTGAAATTTGAATGACTTAATGCAATCATTTACTTTTTGGGGACATAAACTCTGATTTGGGTCGCAGAGCCATCCAAGCTGTGCCACACAGGGATTCAGGTTGCCGCTATGTTTAGCCCTGTCATTTTGACACAGGGCTTCCACGTCTGCTTCTAAATGGAAAAGGAAGCATGGAAATGGCACATTAGCTCCTGCCTACCTACAAGAGATTAGCCCATGAAGGAGAGGAGACAGGATGTGGATGCGAGCTTTTAATCTTTCCCATAAGCATCATATAGTAGGTGTTCAATTAAAAGAAGCCATTATAATTTGTTATGACAATAATCACCTGGTTTCTTGAAGGGGTTTGTCAGGGAACAAAATTTGCCTCAAAATTTCCTATCGTTTTCACATGCTTTCAAGTACAAGATTACATCTGGTTTTCAATGGATCTGTAAATGTTAGCAGGGAAGTTTACACTGCTCTTCGCGATAGACTGTGTGATCTTGCTAGGCTAAGAATTGTTCTCTTTCTTTTTGATACATGATCAAAATTTTAACTTGTGAGCCCGTTACTCTTTTCAGGATGGAACATTCCTGAATACCTGTGTGGGTGCCATTAGATGAATTGCAACACAAGGTTTTCCTGTAGGACGAGAAATATAGGAATCAACAGAGGGGTATTGCAGACCATTGTTTTCTTTTCTCACCAGAGCTGCGGTGTCCATAGGAACTAAGAGTTTTAGTGTTTTGAAAATTTAGCCTCTGGTTGATCATCGCTCATCTACTGCTTGTGCAAGGCTTGGCTTTCACCTAAGTATACATATACATTTGTGTATGGGCTCAGTGGCCTATTTCAAGTAATATATCTTATTCAAATCCTACTGCACAGATCACTGTGATTTCAGAATCTCTAATTTTACGCTTGTATTCAAGAATCAGTAGATTACGTGCTAATCAGACTCTTATCATGCCTCCTTGGAAAATTAATTTGAGAGTGCATAGAATAGGGTATGACTAAGCATGCAAACTTTCTCCAAAGTGCATTGTTACATGGAATGGGTTACTGTTATTACCAAGGTTCCAGAATGAAGCATGGGACACCCAGGGTACTTCTGCAGGGAATGGCCTGTCAGGAAAAAGGCAGTTCCACTGGGAAAAGGGAGCAGCCTCCAGAGAAATCTGTAGTGCTAAGTTGTCAGGTTGGGTTTCAGAGTTGGAGAACAGAGCACATGGAGTCACCAGGGGAAGGTGCTCTAATCATGGGGAAATGCTGAGAGAGCACAAAAATGTAGCACCTGTGCAGAAGTACCTTCCAGAATCCAGGTGCTTCCAGAATCCTTCCAGGTGCTCAGGCTGGCGGACCCTAGAGGAGTCTACAGCTAATCTTCAAATCCTGTTTCTCATGTCTCCTCTTTCTTTGAGTCTGCTTCTAGTACCTTGGCCTAAAGATTCTTTTTTGGACTGAGAAACTACCAAGAAGAGAAATGAACTGAGAGATGGAAGGTCTGCCTCACACTGATAGGAGTGGGGATAGAATGGGCTCAATTAATTCTGATTGTAGTGAGTCCCAGCCAGAGAGGAGGCAGGGGTTATGGAGGGAGAGGAAGAAGGAGAGGAAGGAGAGGCAAGGGAGAGAAAGGAGGAAGGAGAGGGTGAGGGAGAGGAAGAGGGAGAGACAGAGAGAGAGATCAAGGACATCTCAGAGAACAAGCATTCTAGGACATCAGTCACTAAACGGGCCAGAAGTGCATTCTGTAATTAAAATTCAGTAAACTTCCCCCATCAATAAACACATTATTTAATTTCTACGTGAGTTTTCTCCAACAACACATAGCTCAAAATTTCTAGAATTGTAGTTAAGAATTAATATTCCATTGCTCAGCTTCTCTTCCATCCAAACCATTTGTTTCAAAATCTAACCCTTGGGGGCTGGGGATTTAGCTCAGCGGCATAAGCACCTGCCTTGCAAGCAGGCAGTCGTGAGTTCGGTCCCTGGTACCGATAAAAAAAAAGAAAAAGACCAAAAAAAAAAAAAAAAAAAAAAAAAAAAAAAAAAAAAAAACCCCCAAAAAAACCAAAATCTAACCCTTGTTTAGGGTTGGCCATTCTATAATTAAGACATCTATTTTAAATGTCCTTTAAATGGAGTGGGCTCTGGCTGCCAAAGCCAGGGCAAAGACTCCCAACCACAGGGCTTAAGACTACGCCAAAGGGGAGAGTATCATCCTATTTCCCAGTTATGCCTTGTGCTGATGTACATGCCATAGAGCACTTAGTTTGTGCACTGATTTAAACTACACTGGGAGCACATATAGACTCTTTTTTTGGCTTAGCAATGATCCAAAGAAATCTGCTCTGAGCAGTTTTCCACTGGAATCTTTTCTCCCACTATCAAAAACACCCTGAGAGCCTAGTCTCTGCCACCACCCAGCTTAACATGAAGTTAATTCCCGTAGAAAGAACTGGAGGTTCCCAAGTCCCCAAAAAGCTTTGTCTCAGGGCATTTACACTTGATTCCTGGCGTCTGGATTCCCACCTCCTCACTCTGTTTTAACTTCTTGTCCTTTAGGTTTCATGGGACATCTTCTCATCTCCCTTTCACATGTTAGACTCTCCACTGCTAACACAGTGCCTTCTGATAAGCAGATGCACAATTAATATTTGGAGGATAAATTAGCCAGGAAGTTGGCACTCCTAAAATTTAGTAAGATTTAACTTCTCACACATTCTTGAATAAACAAAAGAAATTAGTTATATATCTTTAATTTTACAAAATGAAAGACCAAAAAGGATACAAAAATTCTAAGATTAACCATTTTTTTTACATTTCACCCTATATTTATTGATCTTACCTATTATTGGGTTCTTTAACATTTCGAAGGAAATTTCTGTTACAGGGCCATGTTATCTTGCTCTAGATCACACACACACACACACACACACACACACACACACACACACACACACACACAAAGATAAGGAGTTTCTCCACTTATTTTTCAAAACAGCAATCTTCTCATTCTTAAACCTGATAAACAATAATAATGTATATCCTACCTAATTAACGACTCTAAATTCTGAAACTAATAAACCTTATGAAAAGAATTTTAAAAATACCTAACAGAAAAAAATAATAACCTGAAATTTTCTCATTGCTTACAACCTTGACTGCCCTTTGCCAGGAATGTGCCTCAGAGTTTACTGAGAGCTGGAGGAGCTGCTGGGCTTGGTGCTGGCCTGTGTACTGACCGTGGCAGCAGTATCATCCCCAGTAGCAACTGCAGGCTTGGCTCTCCCTTCTTCATCTCTCAGAGCTTCCTTATACAAGAACGGGAGTCTGAGGGAGTACTCCCAATGACTGCAGAGAAGAACTCCAGGATTTTCAACTTGTTGGTTTCAGCATAGGCTCTTAGTCCCCACAGGAACTCCTAGCGAGCAGGATCACTCTTGGGCACCTGCCGGAACTCTAGGTCCCTGCACCAGATCTTTGGTGAGGAGCTTCCTGGGATACCCATAGATGAAATCCTTGTCAGGATACACCACAATTTGCTGCAGCATCTCCCAGATCGTCTCCTCAGAGGCACAGTTGTTTTCCATGAAGATCATGCCCAGGATAAGTATCAGCAGGCCAGTCTTGGGTATGCCCTCGTCATCACTCAGCCTCCCATCGTAGGTGAGATCTAGTGCTTTGACCAGTACATAAGTGTGGCTAATGGGATCCACTTCCTTCACATCAATGCCAAAGACCACCTTCATCCATTTACAGGCATTCTTGAAGATCACGGGCGTATTGTCCTTCTGATCCTTGATGACACTCTTCAGCATTGTCGGCTTCAGTAACAGGCTCTTCAATTGTATACTTGACACCCAGGAACTTCACCAGCTCTATCACCTTCTTCTCCAGCATATTAGTGGGCAAGAACTCAGGGTATGGACAGGCCTGTGAGGTGCTCTGACTCTTCCCTTTTGGGCTGCTGGAATTTTTCTTTGAAATGCTTGATGGAGTACCTTTGTTGTCAGTGGAAGAGTAAGCTTTCTGAAGACTCTTCAGGGGAGGACCTGATGCTCCAGCAGTTGGTATGTTGTCTGGCATGCCTGGCATTGGAGTGGAGGAGGAGGCAGCTGTGGCATTTGCCTCCACAGTTGCAGGAATGTGGCAAGGTACCAGGTCCTGTGCCTCTCTTCCATCCTGAAGCTCGTAATGCTGATGCTTCTGGCTGTGAGGCATCATAGCTTGTGTTGGGAATAGCTGGCAAAAGTGTGGGTAGGAGAAGGACAATGGACCAAACTGGCCTGAAAAATAGAGAAAGAGCATGAGAAACTTAACCCTGTTGGCTGGAGGAGGATGACAGAAAGCTCTTCAGGTTACAGCTAGTCAGCAGAGTCTGAAGCTTCAAGGGCTAGCAGTGGGGCAGTTGTATTCAGGAGCTATGGAGATCTTTCTGTCTTTGGGTGGCACAGTCCTTCATACATATTCAGGTTGTGTACCTCACCTGGATCATAGCCTGAGGACATGAGACTCATTTCAAGGCCTTCATCCTCAGTTCCTAAAAATGAAGAACTGAGGTGCTCTCAGATTACAGACTGCAAGCACTCCCAGGGCCTGACATATAGGGGTGAATGAACTCTGCTAGGTCTCTACAGTTATAAAGAGGATGGAACTTCCTAAAAGCAGGAGCAAGGAGGTGTTGATCTCCATCTGTTCTTGTGCAGAAGCACCCTCCAGTCTCAAAGTGACTACTAGAAAGACCTGAGTCCAGCATCCTGAGACCAACTAATGGAAGGAAAGATACATTATATCTGATAGCTGGTACCAGGGCCTCTCTGGACAGGGGCCTCAGTTCTCCAAGGGCATGGAAGCCTCATAACTTCTTATTCAGGATCCTTACCTTGACTCCTAGCAGATCCTCTCTTCCTTGGGATGACCAGATGTGGCTACTTCTGTGATGCGAAGTTACATGCTTTAGCCAAGGCCGTCACTTCACTAGGACTGATGAGACAAAAGTGAGGACATGCCACATATAGCAGACTTTGCCCAAGATCATCTATAGCTGACAGCAAGGGTTCAAACCAGTATTTCTTAAGTGGTAAGTATTTAGTCCATCCTCAGGCCCTATAACTCCATGCCCTGCAAGGCCTGGGACTCTTCTCCCTGATGATATCAATCTGGTCCTCTCAGTTGCACACACACACACATGCACACACATGCATGCATTCATGCATACATGCAAACACATGCAGGCACACATTCTTGCATACATGCACACACATGAATGCATGCATACATGTACATGCACACATGTAAGCATAAATTCATGCATACACATAGGCATGGCTTCATGCATGCACACATGCATTCATGGATACACAGATGCATGCATGAATGGACACACACAAACATGCATTCATGCATACACACAAGCATGCATCCATGCATAAATGTGCACATACATGCAGGTATGCATTCATGCATGCACACACAGGCATGCATACACATATACACACATGCAAGCATGCATTAACACATTCATGCATGCATGCATACATGCACACACAGGCATACATACATGCAGGCATGCATACACACATACATGCAAGTGTGCATTCATGCATATATGCACAGATGCATACAGGCATGCATGCACCCACAAAGGTATGCATGCAGGCATCCATTCATACATACATGAACACACAGGCTTGCATACATGCACACATGCACAGGCATATATGCACACACAGACATGCATTCATGTACACACAGAGGCATCCATGCAGACATACATACACGCACACACACACTTACAAACCTTTCATCACTACCAGGCCAGCTGGAAATGAAGGGAGACTCACAGAGAATTGCTTGGGGTCTCCCAGTGCTGACATTAAGGATGCAGTAAGTTTCTTATGGGGACTCCGACCCTGCTCTGTCTAGTATAAGAATTACCTGCAATCCTCCTGAAGGTACTCATATTTACTCCAGATGGGGCCTGCATTCTTTCCCTTCCGCTATTCTGATCATGCACTTCTCAGGTCAAGACCACCATCTTCTAGTTAGCAGACAAGAAATGGGGTAAGGGGGTTGGGGGCGGAGGGCAGGAGAGCAAGGAAGGGACGGTTTTAATGAGGCGCTTGTGTTAAATAGTCCCACTTATGATTCCCCAGAGCTGACAACAGGGGCAGGACAGGGATGGAACCCCTCTATTTCCTACTGGAGGACCTCTCAGTCCTTTCCTAGGTCCTCATTTTGACTCCTGGCAGACATAAGGTTCTTCCTTCTGTTACCCAGGAGCTGGATCCCTTGAACAGAAGCCCTTATTTACTAAAACCATCAAGAAAGGAAGTGAAGTGGAGCCTCAAACTGACAGGTATACCAGGGCATTGATCTGAATAAAGTGTACCAGGGTTCACACACAGGTTACGATTTGTCTGAGGCCTGAATTGGGGATATGCAACCTTTCCTTTTTTGCTTGAGAGTAGTTCCCTTAGACCTAGGTCCCTATCTCCCAGAAAGCAGTGCGTGGGATGGAGAGGGTACCTCTGCCATGTAACTGTGCCTGGGACTCGACACAAAAAGGGTCATTTTCTATGGTTCACTATCTGAGCCCAATCTAAGAGTCTTTATGCCTAGCAGGGCCTGGGAGTTCTCCTTTAATTAGCATAGGCCTTGCCCTTCAAAATATGACACAAGGGAAGGAGTCCTCTCAGGCTGAAAGCATTCCCTAGGGTTTCTAGGGCCGAATGTGGGGATGGCCATGAATTTCTAGAGATTCCTTTGGGTTCTTGGGCTGTGTATCCTGTCCTGCTCAAGTTCTTTATATTTTCTGCTGACAAGCCTTGAACTGCACCCTTCGTGCTGAACTGTGAATGCAGCTCTCAAGCCAAGATTCCCACCTTTCTAGGCACCAGCAAGGAAGTGTGGAGGATTAGGGAAGGTGTCTCCGCTTGACTGCCCTATGTGGTGCTTACCCGGGGCTGACAGTAGAAGTATGTTTTTATGAGCTACTTTCTATCTGGTAGAGGACCGTTTGGCGTTCTCACCCTGAAGCCTGCCACTGCCTAGGTCTTTCACTTTTGCTGATTTCACAGGAGCCCCACAGAGAAAAAAAAAAAACTATCTAATTCCAATTTGGAAGTTGCAACATACTACATCCGATAAGCCTGGCGCGTCACTTCCGGAAACTCGGAAATCCCGGCTGTTTTGTGGCCTCTGGCTCTTCCCTCGCCCACAGGTCTTCCCTGCCTCTGTCTCTTTCCTGACCTGTGGGCCATGGCTCTTCCCTGGCCTCTGGCTCCTCACCGCAGGAAGCTCTGGCTCTTCCCTCAGCCCCGCTTCTCCCCCCAGGAGCCTCCCATAGGCAACCCACAAGGTCTGGTGGGACGAGTACCCCTATTATCTTTTTCTTAATGTTTGACACTGCCCGGGACACCCCCTCTGCAGACCCGAGCGGTGCCCTCTCAGAAAAAAAGGCCATGCTGACTCCGAAAGAAACCGTCCAGTACACTACATCTGGGAATGCTGCCTAGCGTCAGCCATTCAGGGTAAAGGCAGGGGCTGCATGGCCATGAATAGGGCCCCTTATTCCTTTTTCTGAGTCCTCACCTTGAATCCTCACAGAGCCAGGAACTCCTCGGATTTGCCGACAGGGTCGAACCCCTTCATAGGCGGTGCCACCTTCTTCCTGTGGAAATCGGTATACACGCGCTACAGCCGGGGACTCAGCCTGGGGTTGCTCAGAGCTACAGCAGGGACAGAGCGAACGTCACAAGACGTAGTCGCCTAGCTGAAGGAAAATATTTCCGTCAGAGATCTGTGTCCTCAACTTGAACTGCATCATCATTGGGGCCTCTCCCTCAGATGATCTGAGAGCACACCACTAAGATCAATCCCCCCACTGCACTAAGACCACCTCACCGCACTGTCAATGGGAGTGAGGTGTGGCCTCAACCTGAGGGGCGCCTAGCAGGGTGTACCAGCGTTGATGGAAATGCCAGCACCGATTTCTATGGATATTAATCTGTATTCTGGATTTTCAAAATATGTGTGTGTGTGTGTGTGTGTGTGTGTGTGTGTGTGTGTGTGTGTGACGCATGCGTGTGTGTGAGTTTCCTAACTGAGCTTGCATTTCTGCCTAGACAAGGACACTGTCTTCTCTGATACACCCGCCACAGGACATTGGAGGATGCTGGTAGCAGCTGTTCCCCACAAGGCTTCCCCAGCTTCCTGGGACTAACAGTAGAATTGCCTGCCTGTCTTCTTTCTTTCCTCCCTTTCTCCCTTCCTCCCTTCTGTCCTTCCATCCTTTTGTCTTTGTTACTGAGGATCTGCCCAGGGCTTTTCACTGAGCTGTGTTCCCAGCCCTATTTATTATTTACTTTGAGCCAGGATCTCAGAAATTCGCTGAATTGCCCAGGCTGGGCTCACTCTTGTGATCCTACTGCCTCAGCCTCCCAACTACTGAAACTATGATACTATGCTAAACCGCCTGCTAGGATTGCATTTCTGTGGCGCCTTCTCTGGTATAAAGGATTTTGGGATGGCTCCTTTGGTAATCTAAATCCTACACTTTCTACTTTCACTCATTGAAAAAATACACCCTTTATCCCCCCACCTTCGTTTTGGGAGGAAGTCGGGGAATGTGATTTCTGATTTATTTTTTAGACATCTAGTGTTTTTGTTACTAAATGATGTTATTTTTATATTTTATTTACCATTTATAGTGTATAGAAATCAAATTGATTCTTGTATATTGATATTATTTGCAGTAATGTGGCCAAACTCTCATTAGTTCTTACAAATTTTCCACATTCTTATAAATTTTACATTCTCTAAGTTTTCTATGTGGGTAAACTTTTTTGCAATTAATATTAGTCCTGTATGAAAAAATATTAGTCCTGTCTATGTTGTTTTTCCAGATCTAACACAATATTTTTTCTTGTCTTACAGGTTAGTTATGTAAACATTCTATTATACTATGGAATAGATAGGATGCTAATCCATAGTTTCTTTTAGTCAGTGTCTCCCTATATAGTTCAAACTGACATTACACTCACTCTGTGGCCTAGTATAACCTCAAAATCACAGAGCTCCTCCTGCCTCAGCCTCTTGTACCGATATTGCAAGTGTGCCCCACCACACCCAGCTGCTAATCCATTTTTAACACCTGGCTTTTTTTTGTAGATTTACAAATATAAATGTGTTAAAAGTTTTTAGTAGTCCTAAAGTTAATAAATCTGCTACCAATTAAACATCACTATGATGCTTCAAGTACTAGTCTAAGAACTTTTTATGCATTAGGTCATTAAATTCACCTGAATTTTTGTGAAGTCAGGATTAATATTACCTTGACAGTAGGGGAAACTAAGGCACAGAAGACTGTATGTTGTTTATTCTATGCCACTTGTTTAATAAGAACCAGAGTCTATATTGTGTCTTGCTAAAGTCTTTACGTCTACTCTGTCCATTTTTATTATACTTTTAGCTACTCTGTTACATAGAATTAAAATTTTATTCTAATGTGTTTATTTACCAGGCAGAATTGTAATATCACTTATGTATAATAGTGGAATAGGTTATATTTTGAAGTTGTTAAGGAGAGGCAATCCATTTGAAATATGTACATGGAAAAATACAGAGATGCTTCCCCTAGCTAGGTAGTATCTCTATCTTCATTTACCTAGTTACGTGTAGATGCTATAGGCTGGGCTCTCTACCAAGATAAATAATTAAAAACCAATGACCACCTAAAAGAGAGCAATAATTAAAGAATAGCAGTAGACTGTCCTTCCTGTATGTAGTAGTGAATAGTGTGTTTTTCCCTAAAGAGTTTGTGATCAGCACTTTTACATAGTTTAGTTTAAAAAGATCTATGCTGATGTTTCCTAGAATGGCATAAGATCAATAGCAAATAATATTCATCTGTAATTGTACCTGCATAGAGAGGGGAGTATTTCCTATCCAGGGCCATCGGAAGTGAAATGTCACTGTGGAATAAGTCCCCTTTGATATGTACCTTCTTAATGGAATGACAGGTTGGCAACTACCAGTGGGAACTAGCTCATAGGGTACTGAGCCATATGTTCTATATATTTATGACTTATGAGTGAGTTTGTGAAAATTATGCAAGTTTTAATTTGGTTACATTTCCATTGTACAAAGAAAATCAAGATATTTCCATATGTGACATTTGCTGTCATGGTGGAGTGTAGCATTTCATAGCATTGGACTTAATGCTAGTGTTATGAGAAATGACATGAGTGGCCTATGAACAACAGAATACTATAACCAAACCAATTTGGTGAATTTTATGCCTCGTGTTGATTGATTGTAAACATTAGCATAGCAAGATATCTGAAGAATTACATGTTTAAAGGACCTGATGAATTTGTCCATATCAGTCTTTTCAAAACCCTCTTTTGTGGTACACTAATGTAATATCTTCTGGCCAGTTATGCATATGTCAGTGTTACATTAAACAGTCTGGGAAAGACTGGTATACTGGAAAAAGCATTTAAAGCTAGAGAAGTCTTGGCTAGTATTCCATATTTTCCTTTTTTATCAGCTTTGCAATTTTGATTCTATTACCTAGTATCTCTAAGCTTCATGACAACTTGCAATGATGTTTCGAACGTTAAATGAAATGATATATACAAAATGCCTGCTATAAAGGCTCAGTATAGCCATTACCTATCATTACTTTTCTCATTGTCATGTGTCCCGCTCTTCATTGTGATCTGTGCGTCATCTCCACAACCACATATTTTGCTTCCTGATGTTTCTTATAGCTCATTGGCCGTGTAGCAACCTTCCTTCTTCTCTCCACCCTAACCCGCAGCTCCAACATACCTTTAAGCTGCAAAAGATTGTTCTAAAATACAGACACTTACAGTTGTCGTATAATCACCCCTTTCAGAAAATCTTGTTTCCTTTCCATCAATCATAATCACCTCAGTATACATGTGAAAATTTACTTCATTGCTTCTTAGTGTTTATGTTTGTAGAAAAAAAATCCTTTACATTCCTTTCACCTTAATCATCCTGTTGTCACATAACAAATTGTATTGTTATTTCATATATGAGACTTTAACCTGCAAATACTGAAGAAAATCTGATTTCAAAAGTCAACTCAGTTTTACTATACTGGGATGAGAGAGGTTCAGATTGCTGAAAGTTTGAAAAGTTTCCTCTTACATCTTGTAAGAACTTTGAGCGCACAGACCTCACACTGAGCATGCCAGTGGATACTCTGATTATAATTCCTTTCTTATAATATGTGTAGTCAAGTCAGTAAACACGGGTAGGTGATAAATATGTAAGTGCAGACTCCAAAATCCCAGTACATAGATGAAATATATGAACTCTCTTCATTTAGAGCTGACTTAATGAGTCAAATATGAAAGGCCACATGAATTCTGGTTTTCAAGGGAAAGAAATGGATTATGAAGGCCAGGGTATAGATCACCCTGTAAGGGACTACTTGGCAAGGTCATGAGTTTGATCACCAGTACTAAAAAAGAAAAAAAAAAAAAAAGAAATGTATCATGAGGGTATGATACATTCGAAAAATAAAATGGAATCTTAAGCAAAAATATATAATTAATCACAGTAATGACATCATTGGGCATGTAAAGATGAAATGAATCTTTTAAACAAAATATCAGGTACCTTTTCTAGGAATCTTGAATTCTTAATTCCCCCAAGATGAAAAAATTTTATCTGATTTATCATATAATAAGACATGTTATGAAAGAAAAATATATGCACATTCAGAGTGCTACACTGAATATATGCTTTGTATAATAATATAGGTCTGTAAGCCAAGGATGAAATGAATCAGTTTGTGGATATTTGTATATGGAGTTCAGGAAAACAACTTGAAGCTAACTTTATTCCTGTGAAAACTATGGAAAGGGAAAGAACCTGCATCTACAGTATTTGAATCCAACCAGAGAAATAGCTGGGTATGACTTGTAATTATGAGATGCTGATAATAGAACATTATTTGGATATAAACATGAAACCAGTAGCTCAAATACTTATTGTTGTAGTTCGCATCTAAATATCCCCCCAAAACTTCATGTCCTCATAGACAGGGCTTTGGGAAGGTAATTGGATTGTGAGGATTAGGCCACTGATGAATTTAGAGCTAAAGGTGATATTGGGAGGTGGGTCACTGAGGGTTTAACCTGAAAATGTGTGTATCCTTCCTTCTCTCTTGATCTCTTGCCCTGTTTCCTACTGCCAAGCCATGAGCAACCTCTCTTTGTCATGTTCCTCTGCCATGCCACCCTGCCTTGGAGACAGCCAACCAGGAACTGAAACCTCTGAAAAATGTGAGCCAAAATAAACCTTTCCTCTTTTAACTTGTAGGTATTGGATATTTCGTTCTAGCAATAAGAAAAATAACTCAGAAACTCAATTTTGTATTCTAATTGCAGAAAAAACTCATTCCAAATTATAGTCCTAAGCTCATTTCTCTCCCTTTCACAGGACAGGTGCATCAGCCTTTTCAAACTCCTTGCTATTGCTTGAACATGCTCTGTAGACTTTAAGCTTTGCTCATGTGTCCCTCTGACTGACATATCCTTCTTCACTGCATCCTGCTCATCCTTAATATCTAATAATTCCTTCTCTTTGAACATATTGTAATTTTTCTCTAATAGGAACTCTAATTACCTACTGAACGGTGATTAATGTTGAGTCCAAGAGAACTGTCTTCAAGTTCAATCCCTGCTTTTTATGTGATGCACTAGTTATATTATCTCTTGTGAGGCTCCCCTCTCTCATTTGCAAAATGAGAATAATAGTAATATCTATGTTTTAAAGTTGTTATGAGGACTAAATGGCATAGTAACTGTAGCACACTAAACACAGTACCTGTTATATAGTAAGCTCCCCCCAAATGCCAGAATTTCATCAGTAATACTACTGTAAAAGTTTCTCTCCTTTTTCAGACTTGAATCTTCCAGAAACATGTTGGGTACATATAGAACTTGTTTTGTATCTCATAAATAATGAAAACTCAACAAGCAGTTGGTAAAATAAAGTAATTCAAACGGAAATGTAGATTAGTAGATCAGGAGATTTGTGAGTGGATGCAAACTTGGGTAGAATGAATGACTTGATCCAAACTTGTATCTATTAACAAACTTATTATTTACAGTATTTAGGTTTCATATCACTGTGCATAGTATTATCTAGCTCCCATACAACTTTTATGTGTTTAGACTATAATAAGTTAAGAGTTTTTATTAACAAAAGAAATTTTGTAGAAAATTTAGAGTTTAAATGAATTGGTTCTTGTTTTTATGTTTTCCCCTTTATTTAAAATTTGATAAGTAAAATGATTCCCTACTTGGAGTTGAATGAAAACCTGTTGTCAAACTACAAAATGAGATAAAATCTTAGCTTCTTCATGTATTTGTTCAAAAGCAATTTCCCTCTGCTATCAATATAATTTAATAAATAATCACAGTCTAATTACATATCAAACATCTCTTTTTGGAAGTCACTGAGGTATTTTTACCATTTAGTGATTATATGGAATCTGGCCAACCAGGACTTGCAGCAGAACATCCCACTAAAAGTCTCCTCAACACAAGAGACTGAGGGAGTATTGAAGCATACAGTTATTAAAAAAAGAAACATACAGTTATTAGAACAAGATAATCAGAGAAAGCAATGTACAAGTGGCTGGTAAGTGCTTACTGCATGGTTTTAATAGCAAAAAGCCATTTTTGTGCCTCCCAAATTAAATTTATTAGTTGAGATATTCCAAAACATTATTTAGATAAATATATCTAGTTTAGGGAATACTCTGTGGGTCAACACACCAGTATAACCTTGTATTATAAATGTACTTATTGACTTATATCACACAAAGGCCCAAAGAAGACCGTTTTAGTTCTGTTTGAATTGGCATTATGCGTTTTGTTTTTTGGTCTGTTTTTTAACTTATATTTTCCTTATTTATTCTTTCATTGTATTTAGATTGTGGTCTTGTCTGTACAACAAAATTCAGCATTTTTTTGTATTACTGGGAATTGAACACAGATTGTTTGCAGTAAACTACACCTGGCCCCTTTTTGAGATATGTTTTTGTTAAGTGGCTAAGTTGTTCAAGCTGGGCTCCAACATGTGACCCTCCTGCCTCAGCTACCCAGGATAGTGGGATTACAGGCATGACCCACCATACACAGTCCATCTTTCTGAGAAAAAATATTGGTCTGTATTAACTATAGAATAATGGGTTCCACTATGACATTTTCATTCATGAGTATAAAATATACAAGATCATATTCTCTTTTTAAAAGAATATAAGGATCAGACTCAATTGTGGACTTGAATAATGGTAACTAAACTTTCATTAATTTCAAAAATTTAATAACCACTTATTTTTAAGGTTTTGTTTTAGATTGTGTTGTTTCAAGTTCCGCATCCCTCTCCAAGGTCATGTTGCAGCAAATTTGGTCAACACTGTATGATTTGCCTTGGAGAGTAGAGTGAGGTGGTAGTTAACAGTGAACCAATTTCAAGTTTAGGCCCTAAGAGTCTTGCATGTTATCATTTGCACTTGGACCTTTGCCATTCCCAGAAAAAGAACATGACTCAGGATAGCGCACTGGAAGCCCAAAGATGAATGAGAGAAAAACACAGTACACTCGGTATTACAGAGGCCTCACCCTGGATCAGCCAACTCCTAGATATGTGAGCAAATAAATTTGAGATTAGCAGAAATGCCTAGTAGAACCCATGCTACATTAGTTCACTCATATATTTGTGTACTAAACAAAGGCTCCCTAATTGTGCCACTGAAATTTTGTAGTTTTCATATACAGTAAGTTCCTGAATTATGAACATTCAAGTTGTGAACTTTCACACAGATAGGAACAGATCTCAAATTAGGAATATTCTTAGATGGGAACAAATCATGGAAGTAGCTCATGTGTCTGCCGGACATTGTCACAGTTGTGCTGCTGTGTGCTCACTGTACAGTACAATAGTGTACACCAATATAGTTCTCAGTCAGAGCCCAGGATTACACAAGCAAAAGGAAAATCAGTGGAGATGTGGAGGTGGCTGCTAGGAAGCATAAAGCAATGTACATTGTATATGTGTCTCAGAGGTGTATAGGACTCACTTTTTTGGCATTTGGATCAAATCTAACTTACTTTCTCCTGCAATGGATGGAACTTGTTTATAAGTTGGGGACTTACTGTAGTGTTATTGTGAAGGTAGTTTAGATAAATTGTGCACATGACATGAGAAAAGCTTTGTAATACTATGGTAACCAAGACCTATATTTTTTATCAGAGATGATCCAGCAGAACAGAATACTACACAGGTGCATTCTTTCAGTATGATATTCTTTCTATCACTCAACCTGTCTACTTAGCATAACTCTTAAAACCTAAGTATATTTTTCCTATTTTCCTATTGCTGTGACAAAATATCTGACCCCCACGATTTAAAAGAGAAAAGGTTTAATTTCATTCAGTTACAGAAACTTCAGCCAGTGATTGATTGGCAACAAGAAAGAGAACAGATACTTAGTTTATGGAGGCCAGGAAGCAGAATAGGATAACAGTACCAGAGAGGAAGGTACCATGGACCATACATGGTACTTAAGGTTGCACCTCCGTGACCTACCCAAAAACACTCAGAAATGTCTTTACTAATACCTAAAGTGAGTCCCAAGCCAAGCAAGTTGACACAATTAAGGTTAACC